ATGATGGGCTCAAGTATAGCAGGGATTGTGGGGCTGGTGCAGGATCGGGCAGTGTTTTGTTCTGCTGTGTGTGGGGTCGCTATGAGTCGGAAACAACTCGACGGCACATAAAAACAACAACAACATTCCTTGGAGAAGGATATTATGCTTGGTAAAGTGGACTGTTGGTGAAAAGGGGAAGTTCCTCAACCAGATGGATTGATACAGTAGCTCAGGTACAGCAAGGATTGTGAGTATGGGTCACCACCTGCCAGGCAGTGTTTCATTATGTTGTACTTATATAGGGTCGCTATGAGTTGGAGCCGACTTGGCAGCACCTAAGAACAAGAGCACGTAGTGTGTAAAATTGTGAAAAAATTAAAGACGATATAACCATTATGAATTAAAGCAAACATTCATGGATGTGGGCTTGGACCTTGGCTATTTATTAGCTATGTGATCTTAGGCAAATGACTAAACTTGTCCAAACTTATTTCTTCAGCTGTAAGTGGATAACCGGTCATGGAATGGCTTGTAATAGAGTTAATGAAGATGGACCTCTCTTCTCTTTTTAATCTGTGGATTTCTTTTATTGTGCAAAAATATAACATAAACTTTGTCGTTTTCAAGCACAATTTATTATCATGGGGCAGGACCTAAGGCATTTTGAGTGCTAACCAGAAAGTTTGCAATTTAAATCCACCAGGCCCTCTGCCAAAGATGGGGCAGTCTACTTCCTTAAAGATTTATTGCCTTGGAAACCCAATGGGGGTTGTTACAATCAACTCAATGTCAGTGGGTTTGGTTTTTTTTTTTTTTAAATCATATTCACAACCAGTACCCCTATGTTTCCAAACTTTTTTTTTCAACCCAAACAGAAGGCCCTTTTTAAACTGGAAACAGGTCTTGAAAGGAAGGGAAAGTATTACTGGAGTGCCTACTACATGCTGGGTGGACTCACGTAAATTAGTTTTCGCAACAGGTTTTGGGAGAAGGCAATTGCATTTTATAGCTCTTCGTTTTTCAGTTGGGAGTTTTCCCCCAACTTCTAATCAAAAGATGCACGCACTGCCGTTGGGTCGGATCGGACTTCATAGTGAACCTTCCTTGGGTTTCTGAGGCAGTATCACTCGGAAGGAAGATGGGGCAATCTACTTCCGTAGTGATACTGCCTCGGAAACCCAAGGAGCGGTCGCTATGAGTCGGTCCGACTCGACGGCACATAACAACAACAACCACATCACTACTAAAGGATAGTGCCCAATCTTCCTTCCGAGGAGTGGTTGGTGGGTTTGAACCACCGGCCTTCTGGTTAGTAGTCAAAGGCCTTAAGCGTTGCCACCAGAGATTCCAAGCAAAATAGTGCCATGAGTTAACCCTGCAGGGCTGAGCCCTAAGAGTCGGCTCCCTCGGGAGGTCGAAAAAGTTGAGTGGGAGGGGAAGTGTGTGTCAAAGAACCAGGAAAGTAAGACAGATGGGAAAGTTGATGAGGATAAGGAAACCACCACATTGAAAACCTGGACCTGCCGTGATGCAGTGTCCCACAAGTTCTAGCTAAGATTAATAAATCTCATGGATTTTTGTGAGAAACCACCAAACGAAGCAACCTCCGACGGCCACATCTTTCCCAAACAAATCCCAAAACCGATGGAAACAACGCCGACAATGAGCGGGAAAACAACAGCCACTTCAAATCACCCCACCCATCAGCTAACGTTACTTTACTTCCTAGCCGCCCGCCTACCTTGCTCGCGAGAGATGTTTTCATTGGCCCACTTCCGCCAAGCGTCCGTTCTCATTGGCCTATTCGTCTGTTCGTCCGGTTCTGGCGCGTACACCTCGCGCTCAGACCCGTCATTTTTGGGGCTAGAGACCCCGCCTCCGCGTGCCGTGTGCAAAACCAAATGGTCGTTAGGAGCAGGCGAAGGGGGCGGAGTCAGGATAGAAGGAGGCGCGCAATTGGGCAGCTACCAGGGTTCAAACTAGCAAAGCGAACTGGCATTTGCGGGGGTGGCGCGAGGAGGGTCTCTCGTTATTGTTTGGCGATCCAGCAGTGGTGGCGACGGCAGAGGCGGCTGTTGGTGTTGAGGTAGTGGTAGTGGCGGCGGCGGCGGCGGCGGTGGCTCGAGGGGTGGAGCAGGTGCGGCGCGCGCGGGCCGAGTGGAGGCAGTTGACGCCGCGTCCGAGTGGACGGAGTGGAAGTAGCGCAGCGCGTTCAGGAGCGACGTCGACACCATGGTAAGGTCCAGAGCGGGGCCGCGTCTTCCTGCCTCCGCCGCTTTGATGCGAGACAGGTGTCACGGGCGTGCCCTGGGCCGCAGGCGTCGGACGCAGTCCATCGACACCAGGCCTTTCCGCGCTGCCCAGCGGCCGCTACATGTTGAGCTTGGAGTTTGTTGGGCATCCTGCAGCGGGATTGCATCCCAGCTAAGTCCCCTTACCACGCCTACTGAGGGCTGCCATTCTAGCCCCTTCATTTCAAACTGGAAGCGCCAAAAACCTGCGACGCCCCTGGTCTCGCAGGGAACCGCTCCGTCCGAGGCCGCCTGGCTGTGGCCGTTTGGGTAAAAACTTGCCCAGGTAGCGAGGACTGGATTCATTGATCGCAACGAACTGAAGTTTAGTCCCAACACTAGTGTTTCAAGAGAATAAAATAGGACTGACCTGGCGGGAGCTGCTTGTGTGGTTCCTGACCTCATTCACTGTGTGACTCTGAAAGATGTTTCAGTCAAAGACTTTATTTCATGTTAAAAAAAGGTGGAAGTTAGGAACGGCCAAACAACTTGGTTTGGATTTTGTAATACAGAAACAAGTGTTTGTGCATTAAGGTGTTTAAATGAGGTCAAACAGGATACCACTTTAGAAGTTAGAAATCTTTCACGATATGAATTATGTGATGATCTTTGGAGTAAATTTCAGATTTATACTCAAATACTTACATTCATGATCTTTGAGCTATAAAGCTCCTTTATAAAGGAGAACCTAATTGTAAATTATTTGCTCTGGGTTACTGTATAGATTTGGGTTGGACTCCCCTACAGTTTGCCGTTTTCACTATACAATAGTACCTCCCGTTGCCTCTGCTATGAATTTTCTGTCTTAAATTATCCATCTTTTTATTCTAAAATTCAGATGTACATTGGAAAAAAACTGGCTTTTAAAAAAGTTTCTAAAGTCGAGGAAAAAAGATTTATGCATTGCCGTAAAGATATTGGTAATTCAGTTGTTACCAATCATTAATTATGTTGGCATTCCTGCTTTAAGCATCGTATCTTAATACAGGTAACTTTAACCGGAGCTACCTGCATAAAAGTTAAACCCAGGTTGTCATAGTAGTAGTTGATTAATATAGATAATATTAGTTGATTAGTCTTGTGCTTGATATGACGAATGGGATTTAATAGACATATAACACTTGACTTTAAACAAATTGGCTAATCGAGGAAAAAAAATTTTGGTTATTGGAGAATTTTCACGTCTTAACATTGGAATAGACTTGATGGATAATTGTAATTTGTAGTTTACAATTATTGTACAGTGCTCTATAGTAAAGTACTTTCACAAATTGAGGCACAGATTATATCTGATCTAGAAATTAATTTGCTCAAGCTGCTGATTTTCATGGTACTTGCTGGTTTTTAATCTCTGGGGATATGCTATGTATTTGGTCCTCTGTTTGTTGTTATGTGCCATCAAGTTGGACCTGACTCATAGCGACCCCTCCTTGGGTTTGGGAGGCAGTATCACTACGGAAGTAGATTGCCCCATTTTCCTTCTGAGGTGTAGCTGGTGGGTTTGAACTGCCAGTCTTCTGGTTAGCAGTCAAGTGCCTCAGGCACTATGCTACCAGGGCTCCTAAAATACATAAATATTAACATAAGCTAAAAATACAAGAGGCAGTGAGTTGTCATTCTTGATTTTCTCAATCTAATTATATTGCATACTTTTTAAGTTTGAGAAGAGGTGAGTGTATACCTAATTACACTAATAGGAAAATATCCTGGTATCTGGTTTTCAAAGTTTTCTGAAACGTATTCCAGCTTTGTGTGTGTGTGTGTGTGTATAGCCTGTATCTAAATATAGGAGCTCTAGTAGCATAGTGCCTAAGGCACTTGACTGCTGACCAAAAGGCTGGTGGTTCAAACCCACCAGCCACTACTCGGAAGGGAGGTTGGGCAGTCTACTTCCGCTGTGATACCACCACAGCCTCAGAAACCCAAGGAGGGGTAACTATGAGTTGGGTCTGACTTGATGCACATAACAGCAAAAATACCCAAATATGTATTTTCCCCACACACCAAGAGGTTTAACCCAGGTTAATAGTAATTCAAGTCTTAGAATGAAACAATTTATATTGCATTTATTTGGTTACTCACTCAGTTGTCAATTAAAATGACTGTGCAAATTTGGGAAGGTTTGTTAAGTATAAGAAATATATCTAGGGTCTCCAAAATTTGGGAATTGTTCAATGTATTGAATATGATAATATGGCTATCCCCTTAAAAAGCAAATAGATAAAGCAGCAAATATGATAGATTTGATACAGTAAGGTTAGATTGTTTTAAGCAAGGTATTTACAGTATAAATTGCCTGGGAAGTTGCAGTTTGTGGCTTTTCATTAATAAGTAGTTTTTATGGTCATTCAGTGTCACTGAATTGTACATGTAGAAACTATTGAATTGGTGTACTTATGTATATTCTCAACAACAAAAATAAATTATTTTTAAAAAATAATTTTCTAATCCTGTCATAGAAAGATAATGGTTATCATTTCAGACTTTGAGAACCAGTTAAGTGTGTATGTGTTTAATGTTGTATACTAGAGAAAATTGAGATGAAAATGTATCTTTATATGAGGGATAAAACCGAAAAACCAAACCCACTGCCATTGAGTCAGTTCCAACTCATAGCGACCCTATAAGACAAAGGAGAACTGCCTCATAGAGTTTCTAAGGCAGACTGCTTTATTTCTCCCACGAAATGTCTGGTTCTCGACTACAGCACCAGAGTTCCTATTTGAGGGATAGGTGAGAATATATTACTGCTTGAGTTGTCATGTATAGCAGTGTAGTGAGAAATTGTTAAACTATATGAGACATCCTGTTACAAATCTAGACCTTCTCAGTTCTCTCTTAAACTTAAATCTGTCTCTTGCTAAATTGTTTAACGTATGAAAGAGAATTAGTTAGTGTCTATGCTTTTTTGTTGGTGTTGGTGTTATGTGCCATCGAGTTGGACCCGACTCATAGTGACCCCTCCTTGGGTTGCAGAGGCAGTATCACTATGGAAGTAGATTGCCCCATCTTCCTTCCTAGGAGTGGCTGGTGGGTTTGAACCGCCATCCTTCTCGTTAACAGTCAAGAGCCTTAGGCACTAGGCTACCAGAGCTCCTTTTTTTTTTTTTTTTAACTGCCTCACAAGGTACTTTTTTGTTTTTTTCCAAATGATTTTGAGAAATAAAACATTAAGTTTACTGACTCATGCAATTAGGGGACAACACAAGGTTGATTGACAGCACAATTAAACATCTTGGAAGAAGTACAGCTCCTTAGAAGCCAGGCTGGTGAGACTTTGCCTCTCATACTTTGGTCATTTTATCAAGAGGGACCGGTCCCTGGAGAAGGACATAATGCTTGGTAAAGTGAGGGGTCAGCGAAAAACAGGAAGACCTCAATGAGATGGATTGACACAGTGGCTGTAACAGTGAGCTGAAACAGCAATAATTGTGAGAATGGCACAGGACTGGGCAGTGTTTTATTCTGTTGTGCATGGGGTAGCTGTGAGTCAGAACTGACTTGCCAGCACCTAAGGACAACAACATCATAATTGATTTTAGCTTAAGATTGTTTTTAAGGGAAACAAAGGTATGCCATTATTCTGTTGTGCATGGGGTAGCTGTGAGTCAGAACTGACTTGCCAGCACCTAAGGACAACAACATCATAATTGATTTTAGCTTAAGATTGTTTTTAAGGGAAACAAAGGTATGCCATTTCAAAGTTTACCCCCTCTACTTTGCAAATACAGGTCCTCAAGGAGCTAGCCAGTCTTGTATGCTGGTTTCTTTTTCATTTTTTTAACTAGCTCTTTTACAGTTAAAAAGGTCCCTGTGGTGCAGTGATAAAACCCTTGTTTGCAGACCACAAGGTCAGCAACTCAAACCCCTTGGCAGCTCCAGGGGAGAAAGATGTGACATTCTGCTTCTATAAAGATTTACAGCCTTGGAAATCCTTTGGGGGCAGTTGTCTGTCCTATAGCATTACTATGAGTCAGAATCAGCTCAGTGGCGGTGGGTTTGGTTTTGGGTTTCATAATAGTGATGAAATAATAGATTTAAATGGTAAAATCAGACAACGCCTAAGTGAAATTTAGTGTCTTTCTCACGTCATATCCTTAGTATTCCCTGCCAACAGGCAAATCCTTCTCACTTAGGTGATCTAGAAATACTCGATATACCCTACTTATATACAAATAAGCTCACTGTATTTACATACACCTTGCCTTTTTCACTTAGAAATATGTTCCGTGGGTTCCATAGCAACACATTTATTTAAAGACCTCATTTGTTGACATGGCTGCATAATACTTTTTGCCTTCATATACCATGGTTTAGCTAGCCCACTCTACTGCTAGAGGACATTAAGGTTATTTGAGAAGTATTTATTTTTTTTTAATCAGTTGAAAGTATTTTTTTAAATTCATCTTTTTTGTAAGATGCTTTTTTTCTCTCAGAAGAGGTCTAAATATTTCTGTACGAATAATATAGTTATGTTGCCACTAACAGTTACTTAAACATTATAAAATGTTTCAGGCATCATAAGTTATATTGACTTGATCAAGATTCTTCAATCTGAAAATTGGGAAATATATACAGATTTCTAGAAATGTCAAATATTAAATAGGTATTTAAAGTTGACCTTAATATAATGTGATGTAATCAGATGTATATTTACAAATGAGGAAGACAGTAACTTAGATTTTTCTTTTTTAACCACCAAAATAAAATTGGAAGAAATTTTGTTTCCTGAATATTTTTAATACAGTGTTTTCAACTCTTCATCAGAAGTTTTTTTTTTCATCTAGGCTGGAGGCAAAGCTGGAAAAGACAGTGGAAAGGCGAAGGCTAAAGCAGTGTCTCGTTCACAAAGAGCTGGACTACAGGTAACATATCTGTGTTGTAATAGTTCGTTGAAGAAATTGTTTTCTTTACTGTTACAACTCACAACCCATAGATGTTTCATTAATTACAAAAATATATTTGTGCTACCACTACTTGTAATGAGAGTAATTGGACAAGACTCATGTATCTTTAGTTTATCTTTCCTACTTCCAAACAAGATCCACTTATTGAAAGGTCTTAATCTGGTAGTTTAATTCTACTAAAATTTATTATTTCTAGATTATAATTATGTCCCTAGTTCTTTTATAAACTGTTTTTCATTGATGTAAGTAAGCTATAGTTTTTCTTTTTTAAAAAAAGTATTTTTAACAGTACACTAACTTTCAGGATGAGAAAATTTTTGAGTAGTAAAGTATCCATTAGTTTTCTGAATATTTCCCTAATATTCTCAGTTTAAGACTAAGTGATCTACTCAAAACCACTAAATATTTTCAAACTTTTCATATATTTGAATTGGTGCAACTTTACCCTACAAACTTGAAGTGTTCTGGGTGAATGAGAATTATTCCTTATGTGTAAGACTAGGTTTTAACTTGTTAGCAGTGGTGAGCCATTGAAACTTTCTTTAGCAAGAGGACATGATATGAGTAGTACTAAAGGAAAGTGGACAAGAATTTATTCTTGATGCATGTAGCCTTGATATTAGAGCATCATATAAAGTCTCAATTAAAATGTATTTGAAGTGCATTTAATTTGAAGAGGGAGATGGAGGGCAGTATTTACAATGATTTAGGTATAAGGTAATAATATAGAAGAGCAGTCAGCCCCAGGGTTACAGGTAAGGAGAGACAACACAGGGACGCCCAGGGTACAGACGTGAAGAGTAGGAGAAAGGGGATTAAAAGCCAGGAAACCAGAGAGAAGAGCAGTCAGCCGAAGGGATTAGGTAAGCAGAGGAAACTCAGGCCCGCCCAGAGTAGCAGG